TGACCCTGAGTGACCCTGAGTGACCACTGAGTGACCACTGAGTGACCATGGGGGACAGTGACACACTGCAGCACCTCGGGGTACGTCACTGCGGGACACGGAGTGACCACTGAGTGACCACTGAGTGACCCTGAGTGACCACAAGGAGACCAAAGTGACCATGAGGTGATCCAGATGGCCACAAGATGTCCCAGATGACCACAAGATGACCACAAGGAGACAGAAATGACCACGAGATGTCCCAAATGACCACAAGATGACCACGAGGAGACCCAAATGACCACAAGATGTCCAAGATGACCACAAGATGACCACAAGGAGACTCAAATGCCCATGAGGTGCCTACAAGGAGACCCAGATGACCACAAGGTGCCCCAAATGACCACGAGGTGCCCACAAGATGACCACAAGGAGATCCAAATATCCATGAGGAGACCCAGATGACCACGAGATGACCATGGAGAGACCCCAATGACCACGAGATGACCACAAGGTGCCTCAAAGGACCACGAGGAGACCCAAATGCCCACAAAGTGCCCACAAGGAGATCCAAATGACCATGAGATGACCATGAAGAGACCCAAATGACCACGAGGTGACCACAAAGAGACCCAAATGACCATGAGGTGCCCCAAATGACCACGAGGTGACCACAAAGAGACCCAAATGACCACGAGGTGACCATGAAGAGACCCAAATGACCCAAGGTGACCACAAGGAGACCCAAATGACCACGAGATGACCATGGAGAGACCCAAATGACCACGAGGCGCCTCAAATGACCACGAGATGCCCCGAATGACCACGAGATGACCATGAAGAGACACAAATGACCACGAGATGATCACGAGGTGCCCCAAATAACCACGAGGTGCCCCAAATAACCACAAGGAGACCCAAATGACCACAAGATGACCACAAGGAGACCCAAATGACCATGAGCTGACCATGAAGAGACCCAAATGACCACGAGATGACCACGAGGTGCCCCAAATGACCACGAGGCGCCCAAAATGACCACGAGGTGCCCACAGGGTGCTGATAAGGAGACCCAGATGACCAGAAGGAGACCCAAATGACCCCGAGATGTCCCCAATGACCATGAGATGACCACAAGGAGACCTAAATGATCACAAGGAGACCCAAATGACCTCAAGATGACCACAAGGAGACCCAAATGACCATGAGCTGACCATGAAGAGACCCAAATGACCACGAGATGCCCCAGATGACCACAAGGTGCCCACGAGGAGACCCAAATGACCACAAGGAGACCCAAATGACCACAAGATGACCACAAGGAGATCCAAATGACCATGAGCTGACCATGGAGAGACCCAAATGACCACGAGATGACCACGAGGTGCCTCAGATGCCCATGAGATGCCCCAAGCCCCCTCCAGCCACCCCTGCCCTACCTTCGGGGGAGGTGGTGGCCCCCCAGCCCGAGGTGACGCAGGCGGTGCCGGGCCGGGGCAGGCACGAGGCCACCGGGATGGGCCGGACGCGGGCCGAGATGGCGGCGGGGGCCAGCAGCTTGAGCAGCATGATGTCGTTGTCCTTGGTGGACGGGTCGTAGCCCGGGTGGGCCACCATGCGGGCCACCATGCGGCGCTGCTCGCCCGCCTCGCGCGCGTACAGCCGGTGCTTGCCCAGCGCCACCGTGGTCACCCTGGGGACAGGGACAGGTGGGACAGGTGAGGGACACCTGGGAAACATCTGAGGGACACCTGAGGGACACCTGAGGGACATGGGGAACATCTGAGGGACATGGGGAACATCTGAGGAACATCTGAGGGACACCTGAGGAACATCTGAGGGACACCTGAGGGACATCTCAGGAACACCTGAAGAACATCTGAGGGACATCTGAGGGACACCTGGGAAACATCTGAGGGACATCTGAGGGACATCTGAGGGACATCTGAGGGACACCTGAAGAACATCTGAGGGACATGGGGGACATCAGGAACACATGGAGGGGACAGGGACAGGTGGGACAGGTGAGGGACACCTGGGAAACATCTGAGGAACATGTGAGGGACATGGGGGACATCTGAGGAACATCTGAGGGACATGGGGGACAGGGACTGGGACAGGTGAGGGACAGGTGAAGAACATCTGAGGAACACCGGTGGAACACCTGAGGGACAGGTGAGAGACAGGTGAGGAACACCTAAGGAACACTGGTGGGACACCTGAGGGACACCTGAGGGACATGGGGAACACATGGAGGGGACAGGACAGGTGTGGGACACCTGTGGAACACCTGAGGGACACCTGAGGGCCACCATGCGGCGCTGCTCGCCCGCCTCGCGCGCGTACAGCCGGTGCTTGCCCAGCGCCACCGTGGTCACCCTGGGGACAGGGACAGGTGGGACAGGTGAGGGACACCTGGGAAACATCTGAGGGACACCTGAGGGACACCTGAGGAACATCTGAGGGACACCTGAGGGACATCTGAGGGACATCTGAGGGACATGGGGGACATCAGGAACACATGGAGGGGACAGGGACAGGTGGGACAGGTGAGAGACACCTGGAAACATCTGAGGGACACCTGAGGGACACCTGAAGAACATCTGAGGGACATCTGAGGGACACCTGAGGAACATCTGAGGGACACCTGAGGAACCCCTGAGGGACAGGGGGGACACATGAAGGGGACAGGGACGGGGATAGGAACAGGTGAGGGACACCTGAGGGACATCTGAGGGACACCTGAGGGACATGGGGGACATCAGGAACACATGGAGGGGACAGGGACAGGTGGGACAGGTGAGAGACACCTGGGAAACATCTGAGGGACACCTGAGGAACATCTCAGGAACACCTGAAGAACATCTGAGGGACATCTGAGGGACACCTGAGGGACACCTGAGGGACATGGGGGACACATGGAGGGGACAGGGACAGGTGGGACAGGTGAGGGACACCTGGGAAACACCTGAGGAACAGGTGAGGGACACCTGTGGAACACCTGAGGTACATCTGAGGGACATCTGAGGGACATGGGGGACATCAGGAACACATGGAGGGGACAGGACAGGTGAGACAGGTGAGGGACAGGTGAGGAACACCTGAGGGACACCTGAGGGACATGGGAGACACATGGAGGGGCTGGGACAGGTGAGGGACACCTCAGGAACACCTGAGGAAGATCTGAGGAACACCTGAGAAACACCTGAGGAACATCTCAGGGACATGGGGGACAGGGACTAGGACAGGTGAGGAACATCTGAAGAACCCCTGAGGAACACCTGAGGGACACCTGAGGGACATGGGGGACACATGGAGGGGACAGGGACAGGTGGGACAGGTGAGGGACAGGTGAGGGACACCTGAGGGACAGGGGGGCAGAGACAGGTGTGGGACAGATGGGGAAAAGTGGGAACAGGTAGGGACAGGTGTGGGACCTGTGTGTCCCCAGGTGTTCCCAGGTGTGTCCCCAGCTGTCCCCAGCTGTCCCCAGGTGTGCCAGGTGTGTCCTCAGGTGTGACCTCAGGTGTGCCCAGGTGTGTCCCCAGGTGTGCCCAGGTGTCCCCAGCTGTCCCCAGGTGTGCCAGGTGTGTCCCCAGCTGTCCCCAGGTGTGCCCAGGTGTGCCAGGTGTGTCCCAGGTGCCCCAGGTGTGCCGGGTGTGCCTTACCCGGGCGTGGTGCAGTGCGCCGCGGTCACCACCCAGCGCGGTGCCACCAGCACGCCCCCGCAGTACAGCTTGTACATGTCCAGCACGGCCACCTGCCAGGGCTGCGAGTGCGGCACGCACGCGTGGCCGCCCACCACACGCGTGTCACCTGTCACCTGTGCCACTGTGGGGACAGGAAACACAGATATGTCACACCTGTCAGTGTCACCTGTCAGTGTCACCTGTCAGTGTCACCTGTCAGTGTCACCTGTCAGTGTCACCTGTCAGTGCTTGTACATGTCCAGCACGGCCCCCTGCCAGGGCTGCGAGTGCGGCACGCACGCGTGGCCGCCCACCACACGCGTGTCACCTGTCACCTGTGCCACTGGATTTTGGGGTAATTTTGGGGGATTTTGGGAGAGTTTTGGGGATTTTGGGGTCATTTTTAGGGATTTTGGGATCACTTTGGGTTATGTTTTGGTATTTTCGGTCATTTGGGGATCATTTTGGGATATTTTTGGTATTTTGGGGTCATTTTGGGATCTTTGGGGCACTTTTGGCTATTTTGGGATCATTTTTGGTCATTTTGGGATAATTTGGGATATTTTTTAGTATTTTGGGGTTATTTTTTTGGTGGTTTTGGGACCATTTTGGCTAATTTTCCATCATTTTTAGCGATCTGGGGATCATTTTGGGATATTTTTGGCATTTTGGGGTCATTTTGGGATCTTTTGGGGCATTTTGGGATCGTTTTGGGGTATTTTTGGTATTTTGGGGTCATTTTGGGATCTTTGGGGCACTTTTGGCTATTTCGGGATCATTTTTGGTCATTTTGGGATAATTTGGGATATTTTTTAGTATTTTGGGGTTATTTTTTTGGTGGTTTTGGGACCATTTTGGCTAATTTTCCATCATTTTTAGCGATCTGGGGATCATTTTGGGGTATTTTTGGTATTTTCGGGTCAATTTTGGCCATTTTGGGGTATTTTTTGGTACTTTGGGATCTTTTGGGGCATTTTGGGATCGTTTTGGGGTATTTTTTTGGTATTTGGGGTCACTTTTGGCCATTTTGGGGTCATTTTGGGCATTTTTGGGTCATTTTTACGTAGTTTTGGGATCATTTTGGGGCATTTTTGGTACTTTGGGGTAATTTTTGGCCATTTTGGGATCATTTTGGGTATTTTTGGGTCATTTTCAGGTCATTTTGGGATCTTTTGGGGGTATTTTTTGTATTTTGGGGTCACTTTTGGCCATTTTGGGGTCATTTTGGGCATTTTTGGGTCATTTTCAGGTCATTCTGGGATCTTTTGGGGGTATTTTTTGTATTTTGGGGTCACTTTTGGCCATTTTGGGACCATTTTGGGTAATTTTGGGTCATTTTCAGGTCATTTTGGGATCTTTTGGGGGTATTTTTTGTATTTTGGGGTCACTTTTGGCCATTTTGGGACCATTTTGGGTAATTTTGGGTCATTTTCAGGTCATT